TGGAAGGCTGGGTTGCTGCCTGCCACCTTTCCTGCTCACCCAGGGCAGGAGAATCCAAGGGGTCAGGCCGATGGAAACTTGGGGGCTGAGGTGGAGAGACACTTGTCGAAAATGTCCAGTGGAAGCCGTTGATTTCCACCAGCATTTCTCCCCCTTGTGAGTGAGTAACATTGCAGCTATTTCCTGTCTTTGGAGGGGCTGGAGGGCAGTGTTGGGAGGAGGAGAATGGGGAGAGAGCCGTGGGGCCTTGGTGAAGGAGGGGGGAATGCTCAAACGCTGGGTCACTTTCTTCCTGTGACCTTTGAGAAGAGACCAACTCTGGGCTTGAGCCTCCCATTCTTTTGTTTTACACTGGGGTTGCAGATAGAGTGCTGGCCTGAGTTCATATCCCTCTTTTGACACTTTCTAGCCATGTAACCTTGAATTACAAGTCAGCTTAACTCCTCACTCCAGCTTCCTCATCTGTAAAGAGGGGCCAGCAATACTTGTTATATTCTACCTCACTGGATTGTTATGATGGTAAGAGGAGGCTATGTAAAGTGCTTTGCAAACTTTAAAACATTATAGAAATGTCCATTGTTATTATTAGTGTATGATAGCAGATAGAGCACTGGGCACAGAGTCAGGAAGATTCATCTTTGTGAATTCGAATCTGGCCTCAAGCATTTACTAGCTGTGTGACCCTGGGCAAGTCATTTACCCTGTTTGCCTCAGTTTCTTCATCTGTCAAATGAGCTGGAGAAGGAATGGCAAACCACTCCAGTATCTCTACCAAGAAAACCCCAAGTAGGGTCACAAAGGATTGGCCATGGCTGAAAAATGACTGAACAACAACATAATAGCTATCTGTATTGGTGTCTTCCTCGCTCTACTTGACAGGTCCTTGAAGAACAAGGACTCTGTCTCATCTAAACTCATTAATAATAGTAGCACAGGGGATGGGAACAGCTGAGTGCTTTCATTGATGTAGAGGATTCCCAGGTGAGGAAACTCCCTTTACCAATGCAGATTAGGACCTTCTCTCCAACTTTTCATCTTGAGAGTTTCCTGTTGTTGTTGTTCCTAGAGCACTGGCAACAAACAACAAAGATGATGATGGTGGTGGTGGTGGTGATGGTGATGATGAGTGTGGTGGTGATGGTAATGATGGTGATGGTGATGATGGTGATGGTGATGGTGATGATGATGAGGGTGGTGATGGTGATGAGGGTGGTGATGATGATGATGATGAGGGTGGTGGTGATGATGAGGGTGGTGATGGTGATGGTGATGGTGATGATGAGGGTGGTGATGGTGATGGTGATGGTGATGATGAGGGTGGTGATGGTGATGGTGATGATGATGAGGGTGGTGGTGATGATGAGGGTGATGATGGTGATGGTGATGGTGATGATGATGATGAGGATGGTGGTAATGATGATGAGGGTGGTGTGATGTTGATGATGAAGGTGGTAGTGGTGGTAATAGTGATGATAACCTTTCAAAGGTGATCCAAATTAAGTGAGAACAGGAGGAGGTGGGTGCCCACTATTCCTGGAGTCATCTCCCAGAGAGCTGGCTGAGCTTTCTATCCACCTGTGCACTTGTCCACAGAACATTAAAGAGAAAAGAATAATAGCAGTGTAGCAAATTGTGCTTATCTACAACCTGTTGAAAAAGATGAGAATCAAATGATGATTAAAAGTAACAGTAGGAATCATTACAATAATAGCTCACATTTGTGTAGCACTTGAAGGTTTGCAAAGCTTTTTGCCTCATCATTTCCTCTGAGCCTCACAAAAACCTCATGAGTTTGGTACTCTGATTATCCCCATTTTTCAGATGGAGAAACTGAGACTTAGGCTTATAGGATCATAGCACTAGAGGTGGCCACTTGCTCCTAGTCACCCAGGAAGGAAGGGTCAGTGATAGCATTCAAACCCAGGGTTTCCTGACTCCCAGTCTAGGGCTCTGTTGGTCACTGTGCAGACAGATGCTTTGTCAACATTCTCCCTATTTGGATCGAGGATTTTCTGGTGGGGCAGAATGAGGTCTAGGCAGGTGTGAGCCAGGCAGAGGGAGGGGACTTTGGGGCTGCTTGAGGCTGTGGAAGGCTCAGGGAACTTCCTGCCATTGTCTCAGAGATGGGGAGTGGAGGCCCTTGATAGAAGACAGGCAACCTCTCTGGGAGGAATGGAGCCTCTGAGATCTGTGTGCTTCAGAAAAACCACATTTTCAACTGACACAGCCTTCCTGTGGGAGTGTCCTGGGGGCCCTCACATCTCACTCCCTCCCTAGCCCTCCTGCCTTCTGTCCCTTGACCTTCCAGAGGAAGAAGGAGGTGAGTGTAGGGAAGGCTTCATTTGCTGTCCCTGTCTCTGGGACTGATAGAGCCTGGCCAGCTCCAGTGATGCTTAGGGCCAGCCACTCTAACTTGTTTTCTCTCCCTCTTCTCCTCTCTTCCCATCCCCTCCTTTCTCCTTATCTCCCCTTTCTCCCCTTCCTTCTCTTTCCTCCTCCTCCTTTCTCCTATAGCTTCTCTTTTCCCTTCCCTCCTCTCTCTTTCTCTTCACTCTCTTCTCCTTTTCTCTTCCCTCTCCTACCCTGTTTTTACTCTTGCCTTTTCTTCTTTCCCTCTCCTCCCTCTCCTCCCTCTCCTCCCTCTCCTCTTCAATTCCAGATTAAAAAGTTGGCCTATCCTACTCCCTTGTGGTTTGTGTCTGTGATAGATAGCAATTCTCACCAGCTGCAGTTTATTAGGGCCACCTCCAAGCTAGGAAGAAATTGTGAAGGCCAGGCCATACCAGGCCCCGTGATGGGGCTAGAGGGGACAGACTGCCAAGTACCAGTTCTTTGACCTAAGCCAAAACACTGTCCCTCTCTGGGCCTCAGTTTCCTCATCTGTAAAATGAGGACCAGCTGAACTATGTATAAGGTGCCTTCTGGTGCTAAGGTCTCAAGATAAATCTTTCCCAACACTCATAAATGTACAATAAGGAGCCAGATACCTGCTTTCTGTTTCATAACTGCCCACTTTCCAGTACCTAGGACAGGGTGGCACATAATTACGGGTACCAGAGACTGGCTGAATTGAGAGGAAGCAGCCCTCCTTTCTATTCCCACAGCCGGAATGCTTTCTGCGGACAGAGGCTGGTGACCATAATTCTCTTCCCCCTGGAGCCCTCCTGTCTGACCACTTTCAGCCTGTGTGACCATTACAGGACACAAGCCATTTCATTTCTCACCTTCAGTTTCCTACCTGTTAACTCTGTGCTCCTCTGGCTCTGCATTGACTGGTGGTCTGGGGTGCCCATGTTCTTATTCGCTTGCTTCTTGTTAAAAGGTGGATCCTTTTGGAAAGCAGCTGCTGTGGGGCATTTATCCAGCCCTTCTCTGGCTTCGGGATGCTCAGGTTTCCTTTGGTTCTGGAGCTGGTCTGGACCTCAGAAGGCCTCTGGCCCAACCCCACCATTCTATAGATGAGCAAACTGACACCCACAAAAGATAAGTGACTCGTCAGACCACCTCATAAGACCTCAGACGCCATCTAGTCCAACCCCATTTTTCTGCAGATAAGGAAACCGAGGCCCAGAAAAATGGAGTGGCTTGTCCAAGATTATACAGAGATGGGATTTGATCCCAGGTCCTTTGACCTCAAACCCAGTATACTTTCCACTGGGCTGTTGATTTTGCTGTCCATTATCCTATGGAAGGATGATAGATTTAGAGTTGGAAAGCACCAGTGTTTTACAGATGAGGAAACTGAGGCAAAAAGAGGTTTACTCAGGATCATATTGCTCACAAATGTCTGAGGTAGGATTTGAACCCAGGTCTTGTACCATACTACCTACCTCACAGAGGTGCTTTGGCTCTGTATGTTCTGGACTTTTCCTCCTTTTTTCTATAGCCTCAGAGCTCCTCTTCTTTTCCCCATCCCAATGGCCAGTTAAATTAATTAATTGTCCCATAGTGTGTGGCCCAGCCAAGCCCTCTTCAGCTTTCCTTCTCATTCTACAAGCAGCTTCTTGCTGCCACCCAAATCAGCCTGACGCCGCATCTTTAGGGAATGTGTTGAGTTGGGGAATAGATTGTTTAGTTTGCATTCAGGGCCAGAAGCTTCCACTTCATCTGCGGCCTGTCACCCTCCCTGAAAACAAGCATCGGCATCTTTAGGTCTGCTCACAACTGGCTGCTGGCTGCTTTCCCTGGGCATGTACAAGGGCTCCGTCCCTCAGAGGGAGAACCCAGAGCCAAGGCAAGAGTGCAAGCCATTTGTACTCTGTCATCTTGACCACACTTGGAGAACGAAGCAAAAATGAGACCTGCTGCAGGGTTGGGCTGGGCTGCGTGGCTGTCTGACGAGGGGGCGGCTCTCCGGCTCCTCTCTGGAGGAAGGGAAGTTATCAGCGGCCTTGGATGCTGGCACTTTCTTCTGTCTGTTCTCTTAGGGAGTTCTTAAGTTTCAAGAGCCTTTTGTCCCCTGCCTGCCCTCCCCCAATCCAAATGCTCTTCTCTGTCAGGGCTTCCCGACCCTCTGGTACCTATTCCCTGGTTCTTTGGGACTTTACTGGGTATGGGCTGTTGCTAAAGTAGTTTGTAATTCAGAACCTTTGGTCATATTCCTTGGTGAGAACCTTCTCAGTCCTCATATTGTATCAGTCCTCTTTGGGGATAGTCCTAGTATTTTTTCCTCCACTCTCTTCTCTCTCTCTGTCTCTGTCTGTCTCTTTCTTTCTCTGTCTTTCTCTGTTTCTTTCTTTCTCCCTCCTTTTCTTCTCTCCTTTCCATCCCTTTCTTTCTCCCTATTGTCTCTCTCTCTCTCTCTCTCTCTCTCTCTCTCTCTCTCTCTCTCTCTCTCCCCCTTTTCACTCTAACATCAAGTCACTACTACCTCACACCTGTATAGGTGTGCCTCACTTTTTAGCCACCGGTAGAGTGTATGCTCCCTGAGGACAAGGACTATGTGGTATGGTGTGTAGAGGTATGTATGTGTACATACATATGCACACACACACATCCACATCCACATATACATAGATAGATTTCATCTTTGTCCCCCCCAGCACCCAGCATGGTGCTTAGAGTATTGCAGGTACTTTGTAAATATTGGTTAAATTGAATTGAATTGGTTTTTGTGAAAAGTTTTGGTGTGCTCCTTACCCAGCAACAGTGACCTA